CTATCATAATGCTGTCAGTCAGCCTAATGATGAGACTCTTTTGTTTTCTTGATGTTGAACTTCAGTCCATATTGAAGGCTCCAGTCCTTGACTTTCTGCAGCAAGTGTTTCACGCCCTCCTTAGTTTTAACAAGCAAGGTTGTGCCATTTGCATTAACACAGGTTGTTGATGAATCTTCCTCCAATCCTGATGCCATATTCCTCCTCATAGAGCACAACCTCTCGGATAATCTCTTCCACATATAGATTGAAAACTATGGAGTTAGGACACATACCTCATGTTTACCTCTCCTTATTTTAAACCATGAGTGTTTTCTTGCTCTGTTCTGATGGCTGACTCCTGGTCCATGTATAGGTTTCACATAAACAGAATCAAATGTTCTATGATTCTGAATAATATAGTCATTTAAAAAAACAGCTTTGTTTAGGATTTTTTTTTTTGTTACAACAGTACTTTAAAATATCAACTAATATATCAGAAAAATGCACATATTTTATTCTAGAGCTCTGAATTTCTACTGAGTTTGCTTACTTTCCAATGCTGGTCAATGATTACTCCTTATGCTAGATTCCTTTACAGAAAGCTTGTAGAAAATTTCCCATTTTTACAATATGAAATGTGGTTTTTAAACTAGTTTGTACTCAGAATCACTTGAAAATCTTACTAAATATCAGTATCACAAGGTTCCCATCCTAAAGTCTTTACTTCTGTAGGTATGAAGAGAAATCTGCTATGTTTTGTTTGGTTTTTTTTTTTCTGTTCTGTAAGTGATTTTACAGATTTGTCCAAGTTTTCTGTTCCTAGACCAGGCTTTGTTCCTTTCCTCACCTCCATTTCTACTTCAAATAATATCAATGCCCAGAACATGGAGTAAAACATATGAAAGCTTTAAACCTGACAATCAGGGACTCCTCCTTTGCTATACCATGCATCGTACGCTTGTTTAGGGAATGGGATTGATAATATGAATTCTTACCATCTTCCCTTCTAAGAAGTTCTCTGTTCTCCTGAGAAAAATACTCGCTGTCTGTAGTATGTTCAATATTCTTCACCAACACCTTAGTTGAGCTGCACTAGTTCTTCCTCTGTCTTCCTTGTTCATTGTATAGCTTCACATGCCCTTGAAATGGTGTTATTTGGATTAGGGATAATTTAGTGCACAAAGTGACACATTTGCTTTTGAACACTGGATTTTACCTATGTCTGCTATACCTGTGGTTATAATCCCACGTGGGAATAAGGTTTTCTTTTTATGCTAATGTGATAGTGCATGGTAGAGTTTAAGTCACTATCCTTGATATATAAAAGAGCATATTAAGCAAGCAACAATAAGGCAGAGACGAAGGAAGACAGATGATCATTAGGATTGCCAAGGCAGAGAATCTAAACAGAAATAAGACTTTCCCCCCTGCAGGTAGAACACTTATCTCCTGAGCCAGTGCCCTGAATTTAGACTTCTAGCATCTCAAAATGTGGAAAAACAGTTTACTGTTTGTTAACACCATCCAACCATGGTATAACTACATAACATCACTAGATAATGGAGACAGCAAGTAAGAATTTTTTAAAGACAATAATCTGAGATGCATTGTATTCCTAGGTACAGAGCCATCGTGAACCCCATGGACATCCAAACCTCAGGGGCTGTGATGTGGACCTGTGTGAAAGCTGCGGCTATCTGGGTCATCTCGGTGCTGTTGGCAGTGCCAGAAGCCGTGTTCTCTGAAGTGACACCCATTGACAACCTCGAAAACGGCAGCTTCACGGCATGTGTACCCTACCCGCACTCGGACGAGCTACACCCCAAGATTCATTCAGTGCTCATCTTCTTGGTTTACTTCCTTATTCCGCTAGTAATTATTAGTATTTATTACTATCACATTGCAAAGACTTTAATGAAGAGTGTGCATAATCTTCCTGGAGAATACAACGAACACACTAAAAAGCAGGTAAGCATGGGTGTGTGTGTGTGTGTGTGTGTGTGTGTGTGTGTGTGTGTGTCCACGAGTGCTCAGCATGAGAGCTAAGGTCCAGCAATTGCTACTTTTGATATATTTATGTCCTCTGAATACCATGAAAGATTAGAAGAGAGTCAGAGGTTTCCATGGGACCTAAACTGGCCTTCACTAGAGGCAGTGTCAGGGAAATCTGTAGTTTGTGGTAGTATTAAAGCTTTGTAAATACCCACTAGTTTGGCTCCTACCTTTCCTGAGACTTGATGAGGGCAGGAAAACCATCATTTGTAATTTATTATCTATAAATATTTTTCTTTAACTATGAGACTATATGGGCAAAGAATAAAATAAAATGAAAATATCCACATTTTAATTAAATATTGCAAATTTAATTATGAGCATTTCCCCTAATAATACACTAAAGACGGCAAGGAAGAAGGCTGCAGGAGAAGAGGGCACTAAGGCTCTGTATGAGATCTGGAGATCAAATTGTAGGTGAGGTTCCAGAGCCGGGCACTGAGAACAGAGGGCAGCAGACAGGAGTGAGTATGATCAATACATAGACTGGTCTAGAGAAGTATTTACTTGATCCAATTTAACTGTAACTTTATGACTATTATGAAATAATTTAAAAATAAATCTATCATTCACTCCACCCCCCATAAAGGACACAGTACTAAATTCAGATAAAGTCAATGGTGTTAATACCCACACAGAGTGAAATAGTGTCATTCTTTGACATGTTGGTAACTTTACATATTCCAGGAGGAAGTGCTTCTAAAGATTTCTGCAGGTGAAGGGAAATTATGTGTCTTTCTTCAATTTATAGACAAAACTTTGACTCCCAGATCATTAAATATTTCTGAAAGTCCACTGAGGTCAATGTCAAGAAGACAAAGATTCTCACCACTGAGCCAATTGGCAGCATCAGGAAGAGATTGAGATTGCTCACAGCTTCAGTTTGGTTGGCTCCACGGTCAACACCCTCGGCACCAGCAGCCAGGAAATTAGAAGACTTATTGCCATGGGAAAGTGTGCTGTTAGGGACCTCTCCAAAGTCCTGAAGAGCAATGGTGTCTCCTTGGAGACTAAGGTGTGTCTGATACAGGCCATGGTCTTTGCTATCACTTGTTATGCATCAGAGAGTTGGACAATGACTAGGGAAGATACAAGGAGAATTGATGCCTTTGAGCTTTGGTGCTGGAGAAGAGTATTGAGGGTACCATGGACTGCTAGGAAAACAAACAGATTCATCCTGGAAAGGGTCAAAGGGGGCTGCTCCTTGGAGGCAAGGATTCTGAGGCTTCGTCTAACATACTTTGGACATGTTGCAAGGAGGGACAGGTCCTTGGAGAGGGACATCATGCTTGGGAGGGTGGAGGGACAGCATAGGAGGGGAAGGCCCTCTATGAGGTGGATTGATTCAGTGACTGGGGTAATTGGGATGGGTATATCAGAGACAGTGCAATTGGTACAGGACAGAGCAGAGTTTAGGGTGGTTGTACATAGGGTCACTATGAATCGCAAGCGACTCAATGGCACATAACAACAACCACAACCACCACTGAGGTACCTTTGGACACTTTATGAACAGCAGAACAATAAGAAGGTGGAAGATTATCTCCTTTGATTAGAGTCCATTTATGATCTCTGCTTTAATAAAACCAACAAATCAATAAAGTGATTGTTAAACTAATATATGCTGTTGTTGTTGTTATATGTTGTTGAATCACCTGTGACTCATAGCAACCCAGTGAACAGTAGCTCTGAAGCCTGCCCTGTCCTGAGCCAGTCTCACTGACTCTGTGACACCTACCCCCATTGCCCTAGTTACTATATCAATCCATCTCATCCAGAGTCTTGCTCTCCTGAACCATCCCTCCAACCTCCAAGCATGATGTCCTTCTCCAAGGATCAGACACTACTGGCCAGATGCTCAAAGTATGGGAGATAGAGTTTCAAAATCCTAGCCTTCAAAAAGATACTTGATTTACCCTCTCCAAGACAGACCCATTTATTTTCTTGCAGTACATGGTATGTTCAAGGCTCTTCTCCAACACCATAACTCAAAGGCATCAATTCTTCCTCTGTCATCCTTAGTCATTATCTTGCTCTCTGATGCATAGCAAGTAATTGTGAAGACCATGGCCTGGATCAGGCACACCTTAGTCTCTAGACTGACATAGGTTGCTTCTCAGTGCTCTGAAGAGGTCCCTGGCTGCAGACTTTTCCAATGAAATTTGTCTTTTGATTTCCTGACTGCTGGTGTCAAGAGTGTTAACTGTGGATCTGAACAAACTGTAACTGTTAAAAATCTTAATCTCTTCTCCATCTATCATGATGCTGTCAATTAGCCTAGTGATGAGAATCTTTATCTTCTTGATGTTAAGCTTCAATCCATATTGAAGACTACATTCCTTGACCTTCTGCATCAAGCACTTCAGGTCTTTCTCAGTTTCAGCAAGCAAGATTGTATCATCTGCATAATATAAATTGTTGATGAATCTTCCTCTAATTCTGATGCTTTATTCCTCCTCATAAAGCCCAACCTCCCAAATGATCAGTTCTGTATGTGTGTGGAGATAGATAGATAGATAGATAAATAGATAGACATATTTTTTTTTCTGTACTAACCAATAGGTCAATAGGCTACCATAGCATACACACATACAACCACCTATGCACAGAATTTAGGTATATGCCATTCACAGGAAACAAAAATTCAGGCCTTATATATATATTTAAAAACAAAACAAAAACTCGAACATGTTATTGCCAACTTCAATCTAACTCACGGCAAATCTCTGTGATGCCAGTACACTTTATAATTAACACACAGCTCTTATAGTCACAGTACTTTGATCCAATGTGTATTCCAGGGTGAGTATTTAGGGTTTTGCCTTGATATTTAAGTCAGGTTTCTACCCCCACCAGTCCTAGTAGTCTGCCTATTGATGTGGCTTTCCAAGTACAAATGCAAATGCAATCAATTGTCATTAAGTCAGAATCCAGTTACAGCTCATCCCTCAGTGGCATTCAGAGGCTAGAGACTGTGTGGAAAGAGACTGCCTCTCTTTATTATACAGAGCAGCAGGTGGACTTGAACTGCTTGCCTTTTGGTTGGCAGCACAATTGCAATAAAACACTTTGCCCCACTCTATCTGCTGGAGAAGACACAGCTTAGTATGGAACATTTCATGTTCAGTCGCTGTAATGTTTTGTTTGCCTGGCATGCCACATGGGTGTATTTGGAGTCCTACATCTATTTTCTCCTCTAGAACCATTTCATTTGCATCTTAGTTTACTTCCCCAAGTCCCTAGTCACTATTGCTCTTCAAAACAAAATCTGTTCCAATCCTAGCCCTTTCTAGTCTTAGTGGCATATTTGAGTTGACTTTTGAGTAGTTTTTGAACTCTAGTGGCCTAGCGGCAAGAAGCTGTGCTGCAATCCCGAAATCACTCAGTTCAAGGCCACCAGCTACTCTGTGGGCAAGGGATGGACTATCTCCTCCTGGGTAATTAACAGCCTCTGAAAACTCACCACAGGGTCAGCTATGGGTTGTTTTCAGTTACCCAGTACACAGCACACACAACACATACAACACAATGTGAGTTGTTTTAACTAAGAAAATATTGTGCTTCCTACACCATATTTTTTGAGAAATTATATTTTCACACTTAGGTTGTCACATTTAAATGGCATTTAAACAAATTAGACACATATGAGATAAATCTTGAACTCTCTCACCTCAAATTTATTGATGACAAGTCAGAATCAGCTCAAACTTGCCCTCCCACAGTGGAGGAGCGTGGCTATTTTTCCGAGTCAGTCACCTCTGTTGTTGAACCACAGGAAGTGTGGACTTTGGGTTAGCAGCGCAGCTCTATGGACCACACCACCAGAGCTCTCCACTATGTGTCTGTAAGTGGCTTCTAGACTAAAAGACGGTGTGCAAATTTTGAACTTTCCATTTAGTACATTCCTGAAGACCCTTTTATAAAACAATAAATAAGGAAAAAGTATTTTTAATTTAAAAAGTCATCTAACACAATAATGTTTATAAAATGACAATAATAGTAGATCCCTTTGATTTACACAAGCCTAAAATTTAAATCTCAATTATTACTTTTTTGTTTTGGTGCCGTAAGACATTAAAAAGTTATATCCTAATTCAATAGATAAGCAAGACCCTATGGTGATGAAGGAAGAAGTTCAGGCTGCTTTGAAGGAAATAGCAAAAAATATGGGCCCAGGAATAGATGGTATACCAATTGACGTATTTCAGCTAACAGATGCTGCCCTGGATGTGCTCATTAATTTGTGCCAAGAAATCTGGAGAACAACCACTTGGCCAACTGACTGGAAGAGATCTATA